TCGACAGTGTCAAATAGACAGATTTAAACTTATGAATAGCAAGGGAGGATTTTAAAATAACAAAAAGGCTAAAAATTAAAGTCATGGACAGTCAGAGAAAAGACAGGAAATAATAGTGAGAAAGGGGTGGGGTGAGATTGGCAAATGACTTGATTCGCCCACATAAGAGCAACTGGAAGACGTGTCGGAGAACGTGCACAACCGGCCAGGCCACATTTCCAACAAGACATTTTTCTAAAGTATTTGCCAGGGACATTTGTAAGACTTTGGATCAATTGCCTATGAGCGCACAGACCGCTTCCTGTGAATACGCAGTGCCACAGTTTCCATGGAAACTTTTCCAGACTCTTATTCCAACTGTACAGCTAAACATGGACATAACCTAAAACATCAACAGACACTTAGCAACAGTTAGCTTAGACACAAGTGACTGTCGGTTTATCTCAGGGTTCAGACCGCCAACAGCAGTGACAATCCTGTTGCCATAGAAATGGGGCGTTGAGCCTTATTGAATGCATTGTCTCCAGCTGGGTTTTTCATCACAGCGGGGCTTATGTTTACGACTCAGCTCAGGCCTACAGAACAATCCATTACTGTGAACTCGCTCGCTGCCTTCTGAGGTTCCCACTTCAAGCAATCACAGACATCGCCATGGCCTCAAGGGAAAAGTTTGAATGAGAGTAACAAAGACATAGACGGCCCGGCCTTATCCTTGACCGGGGGACGCCAGCCTCAGATCACAGTTGGTGGCGTTGTATTTGCTAATAAGTGGCTGTCACCTCCTTAAAATATAGAGTAATTAGATGATCAAATATGTGCATCCGATAAGGCTACAGACTTGAGCACAGCTGGTTATGTGCTAAAAATAACTGTAATTTTGACTCTGAAAAAGTCTAAGCAGCAGCACAATGCATAGAGTTCTTCTTCTGTCCTACTTTTGGTGGGTCGGCAGTTTTGTGCACAACACAGCAAAGTGTGAAAAAGTTAATAACAGCTATAGTTAGATCAACAGTGAATGTAAAAGGCCAATCCAACACAAGCTGTAATTACATTTTAGCCAGCTTTCATAGAAGGATTGTGCACCTAATGGTTCATTTGGTCTATTTTCGATTTTCATTTGTACACAAACTTCCCTCAAACTTAGAATCTTTAATTTGCTTTTGCATGATCCGAATTACAGCGTACAGCCTAAACAGGCTATTCCGTCATGTCATGTGATATTATAAACGTAGCAGTTTGCTATAGTAATAATTGACAAAAATATATATCTGCCATCATTTACTTCAAAATCAGAATGACTTTCTTCTGTGGAATATGAAAGGATATCCAATTTGCTCTTTTCCATAAAATGAAACCATAAAGGCCTGTTCACACCGGGACGAATTTCGCGCGCGATATTCGCCGACGTTTAACGCCTCGTGACTAAACAAAGGGCGCCTATGTGAGTGTGCACACCGACGCGAAAAACGCCACGCGTAAAAGCGTCATTTTTTTAAAAACGCCTCGCGTCAAAAACTATCCGACCAATGAGATTGGCGCTTTTGCTCACGTGTCTGGAGCTTCTGAAGTTACAGTAAAACACAACTTGGGGGCGCTCAAACACAAAACGGTCTTGCCGAGCACACAAACGTAACGGCGAAGAAGATATACGCCAAGTAGCATCTACACCATAGATATCCATAATAAAGGCTAGATGTCTCGTCCGCGCTGCTGGCCAATGTCCTTTATTATGGATATCTATGGTCTACACTGCCGGGAAGAAATAAGACGAGGAAGATGCCGGGCAAGATGAATGTAGAGCTGCTGGTCTCGTTGGTGTCGGAACATAAATAACTATATGACAAACGCGACAGCGACTACAAAATAGGACTGATATATTTCTGTTTTACATTAAGCGCCATCTAATGTCAGGGAATGAATTTGCATGTTCACTCGGCTCAACGTCAGCGAAAATCGTTTGGGTGTGAACAAAAAACGCGTTGAAATTCGTCCCGGTGTGTACGAGCCTTAACACTACTTAAATTTCTTTTATGGTGCTTTTTTTGCTTGTTTTGGAACCTGACAGTTCCTGGTACCCATCCACTTTCATTGAAGAAAAGACCAACCAGGATACGCTTAGATTATCCTTTTGTGTTCCACAGAAAAAAGAAAGTCATACAGGTTTGGAATGACATGAAGGTGAGTAAATAACCAACAACATTTTAATATTTGGATAAATGAATGCTTTAATTACAAACACCTTTCACAGCCAAAAAACCTAACCCTATTATTTGTTTATTCCAGGAAATGTGACAGTAAATCTAATTTAGAGAAAGAGAGCAGATGCAGATGGCATCTCCATTTGACGCATGACTTGTTTGCCCCTGGCTGTAACTTTTCTTATTTTTCTCGCTTCCTTGATTGCCATAATTTTTCACAAGATTTATGCACAGGTTTCGCTCTGCTGTCAGAGTAGTTTCAGTGTTACAGAAAATAAGTTTGCAGAGCACTAGAGGGCTTGATGGTTTCATAATCTAACATTCATTTTAGCACAACCACAATACTCAAAAACTTCACAGATTTAATTTTGTCATGCTATTATGACAACAGCTTTTTGCACTGCTGTCATAAAACAATTATGTCAAACTTGAGGAAACAGCTGAGGTTTAAACTTTCCATTTCAATTGTCTGTTCTGCGATGTGCAACACTAGTCTGGCAAAGAATGCTGAGCCACCAGTCTGTTTTTCCATCTTGACCCACAGTACGAAACAGCCTTTATAAGCATCTCTGGTGTGATAGACATAGATTGTGCAATACAGTGAGAGAATGGCACTTTGCCTAAGGCATCTCAGCTCATTGTGTTTCATTAATTCCCCATCAATCTGAATCTCATCAATGCGTCTAACCCAATATTTTACTGTTTATGCTCTTAGTGTTTTATGTGCATGCCTGTGTAGGAAGTAGAAGTTGCGCTGTGAGGAATAAACACAGATGGTGTATTCTCAAAAATCTCAAACTGATGAAACAAGTGATTTCTATTATGTAAAAAGGAGACATTTTATGATCCATCTGTGGATCACTACTACAGGCTTGGTGTGTGGGAGTGGGAAACAGGCCTGAACTCAAAACGGTAGTTGCTAGTGTCTGTATACCACATTGAAATCAAACAGGATGACATCAAGCACTTTAGAAAAGCACCAATGCAATGCCATTAAAGCACAACAACAGTTTGTAGCTGTGATGGCTAAGGCCACACTGAATGAACATTTCATTTGAATGGTTCTAGTTTACTTTGTATTTTATTTTTTGTATGCGAAAATTATATTTCGTTTGTTCTAAGGGATTAATGTTTTTTTGTCTGTTTATTTATAAATTCCTATGTAATTATTTTGTTTCTTTAAATATGATTTACCCAAACATTGGAACTGGAGGAGCTACGTTGTCTCTTTAGCACGCATTAAACCTCAAAGAGCGACAAAGCCAATAACCATTATTTCTAAAGAGCACGATAGTGAGTAAATGAAACCACAACCAAGATATAGGTTTGATATTTGATCTACATTTATTTACATCTTACCTGTGGTTCCGCCGGGATCCATGACTGCAGCATGGAACAAAGGCTTTATCTCAAAAATTAAAAGGGCACGGCCTTTCCTGGTGTCCTTTATATATTCGGATGGGAATTATGGGAAATGTAGTTTTTGGGACAATATGTGTTGGGGTCGTGTGTTAATTTGAATGTGTTTAAATTGTTTTTGTGTGTGTGTGTGTGTGTGTGTGTGTGTGTGTGTGTGTGTGTGTGTGTGTGTGTATGTTTAAGTGTATTTTCATTATTGCCTTATGGTAAATGTGATTTTTATGCTCATTTGAGTTTGTGTATATATATATTTTCCCCCTTTAAGTTTGATGTAATGGAATGAGAATTGTGAGGCCCCTGTAATTATAAAAATGGTTTGGTCTGGTTTGTTAAAAGGGCTTCATTTTCTGTGGCAGGGTTAGTTCTGGTGAGGGATCCCGGAGAAACATCTGAGACAGAACGCAGGAATGTGCTGATGTCCCATTTATTAGTCAGTGTTTTTTTTGTTTTGTTTTTTCTCTTTCTTCTGCACAATGTGTGGTCAGTACTTAAGTGTTGCAGTCAATACAATGACACTTTGTTAACTCCATGAATGTCTCCTGAAAATGTTATGGAAGAACCCTTACAGTACCATTATTTGTTCTGTTCTTATTTATTTGTTCTTTTTTATTTCTTCTTTTCTTGATTTTAATAGTTTAAAGAACTGGATATTTGCAACATGCCCATACTTCCTCTTCCCAAACTTGGACTAAATGGTGTAGGATGAGACATTGCAAGGAAGTGAAACCGTATTCTTTGAGCTTGAAAAACAGAGCATTCTCCTTTATCTAATAGCACTCATTTTCATTTTAATGCGAGTCATTTTTCCTCTGTGTCAGGCAGCCTTGGAGGCAGGCAGATCGTCTGCCTCAGTTCTACTGTTGGGAAGGCCATGCAGACTCCGTCAGGAATTCCATTAAAATGGAATTGCCTGGATTTGTCTCCTCCCATTTGGTATCTATTAGTTATGCGCTGTCGCAAATATAGTATATGGTCTTTGTCACTATAAAACATGCAGTAAAAACACGGCTCACAAGCTCTTCCAAAGAAAGAAAGAAAGAACACTGTAAAAAAAAAAAAATTAGCTGACAAATGTTTAAGTACAATCAACTTGGATGTTTGAGTCTTTATAATAATTTAATCTTGTATAACTTACAAAAATGTTAAAAATTGCTCAACTTATTTTGAGGAGTTAAAGTAATGTAAAAAAAAAACATGTCATTACTTATTGATCATATATATTTTTTACAGTGAAAAAAAAGAACAAAGGAAAGACAAAGTAAAAAGGGAAGGAAAAGACAAGAAATATTTTAAAAAGAGAAAAAGATATTGAAATAAAAACGGAAACAGTAAAAAGAAACAAAAGAGGAAAAGTAAAAAATAGTAAAATGCAAAAGATCTCACCTTCTTCTTGTCTCTCATGGAGCCTTTGCCTCGCACCATGATCTTGCAGCCCGTCTCTGCCTCCAATTGTTTGGCCGTCAGGCCCCGGGGCCCCAGGATTCTTCCCACAAAATTAAACTGTGAAGAGACATCAAAAGGTAAGGAAAACAAGTGAATTCTTTCAGTGGAAAACATCTGCATTTTACACATCTGGTATGAGCATCCCAGTGCTGAAAAGCTGAAACGGATCTGAAACGGTGTTGCAGTCTCGCCGTGACTGAATGATGTGTGCTTTATCACTGTGAACACGCATAGCTCTGATATTTTAGTCATTATAAAACTATTTAACTTGGTTAAAAAATACCTTTAAAAACTAGAGAGGCAGAGGCAGCCACAGTCACATCCTCAAGGTTACAAAACACGGACCATCATCCCCTCAGCTAAATGGTTCTCCCATATGGAAGTTTTGGCAGAGCTCGACGCAAACTGCAGCATGGTAACATAATTGTATAATTTAATCAAAGGGACTTTTTAAACCCTGGCAGAATGTGAGGAATGCTTAATCCCCTTTTATTGAAAGGGGGACATCTAGAGACCAAATGGGGTTTTGGAATGTACCATTTGCCACGGGGAAGCCTTAACCGTGCTCCACCCTATTACCGCACTGACACAAGTCACATGGAACAAATTTAACCTAACAAAGGGGTCAAAGAGTCATATAAACACAAATACCTACCATATTTAACAGCCAATATGACTTGGAATAGGTACAGGATGTACACGAAAGTGCTTGCTTGTTTGTTTTTTAGTCCAATCCAAATTCATGTTCCAATTGATTTCTACATGATTTCTGCTTTAAAAGTCAAACAAGTCTGTCCTGACATGTGGGACTATGAACAAGCAACAATAATTTGAATTCTTACATTGACATAGTTTTTTCAAAAACCAAGTTGGTTTGAACCGTTTCCACTAGTTTCCACAATCAATCGAATACCGTAAACATTATAAATTATGTTTTTCGCCGTCTTCGTAGGGAAACCACCAGGCAAGCATACTTAATGATTAGTAAAGCTGTGATTCGACCCATGGCGTGATTTATTGTGCTGCCCCTTTAACAGTCACGAGGCCAGAACATTGTGCTTTTTGGCATTTGTGGGCCAGTGACAGCGCCGCTCTTTCAGCATTTAACCTTATCTGTCACAAGGGTTGAGTGATAAGCCAGGCAGCTGCATCTCTCTCAGGGTCACAATGCATTCTCTTCCTTTTAAAGCTCATGTCTTCACGGGCCGTTCACAGCTGCTGGGGGTCGTTGGCTCTCTGTGCTGTATATTTAGAGTTGAGCTCATCAAACTACTGTGTGGATGGCACTGTCTGTCTGTGTCCTTGTGTTATTGTCGTTTTTAGGCAATGTTTGTGCAACTGTTGACTTCGTGAACTTAGTTTTTGTCAGTCAAGATGTTTCTTGCTACCTTCCTGTCATTCTGATTGGTAAGCCGTGTAACAGTGAGATGAGTCACCGCTGGTCTACGTAACCGCACAGAATAAATGACAGAAATGACTGCTAGTGTATAATTTCCAAAACAAAGGGACAACAGCAAAAAAAAAAAAGGCCATTAATTTCGAAGAGTCGGATAGAGGGTGGATATATTTTTGTGTTTACAGCACAAAAATATGCTTTACTAACATTATGAGTGGACATTGGGGAAAAATTAAGAAAAGAAAAAGAAAATAAGGCTGTTTTTATTTGATCAATATTAATTTTTGGGTAGACTATTCCTTTAAGAAAACAAAGAAAGTCAGAGAATCCTAACAAAAAGTAAACAGTGTCTTTTTTGTGATTTTTAACAAGTTCAAGGCTCTTAATGAACAACAATGAAGCATTGGAAAAACCTCATTACCAGTCGACAGCTAGAGAGAAAAGAGTGGGAAGAGGATGACAGACTGAGACGACGGCCTGAGAATCATTCTGAATGGTCTTTACATAGAAACAGCGAGAGCATGGAGAATAGAAATCTAATCATCATTCCCCACCCCTCCCATCTCCTCATCAAAGTCCACATTTGTTTTCACACAGACCATGCAGGCAGGGATAATGTTCTAGATCATTCTCTCCAAAAGGCGATGGAGGACAGAAAGGCCAGTGACCTGCATGTCTCTCACCCACACTTGGCACTGATTGTGGGATGGTGGTAACCCTGACAGGTTTCCGCGGGATTATCGGAATTCTGGTTCTATTACAGGGGAGCAAAGTCACTCTCAAAACAAGCCTGATGATTGATGGCTGCAAATAAGATAAGATTTGTTGGGCCCCAACTGATCTTTAAAATACAACGGCCAACAAAGTGTAAGGAGGTAAAAAAAAAGGTAGAGGCAAAGCACAAAAAAAAAAAAAAAAAAAAGAGGGAATAACAGTATCTTACATTAATCATGTACATTTGTTTAAAACCTTGCAAACATTAGATTGTCTGTGACGTGAACACTGAAAATTGAATTGAATGTTGATTAAAGGCAACTAGCTGGTTGACAGTTATGTTGAAATGTCAAGAATATTCTAGGAAGCATCATTAGAAATATTTGAAAATAACAAAATCAATAATGTATTGCACAATATGCCACTATTCTAGCAAAAGTGTTTGTGTAGTTTGTTCATTTAAATTATTTGAAATTGTAAAATTTCCAGCTATATTGCAATTGAAAACAAACAATCATACATATAAATATATATATATATATGAATCAATTTTGCCAAAATAAATATTTTATTTTATTTCAGCAACATATTTTTGGTTAATTTAATTAAAAACATTTCGCCAAAGAATAAAATGTACCTTATTTTGAAGTGGGCCAGTGAAAATGTTGGCCAGGCAATTAAAGATCTCATAGGCCTGAAAAATCCCTATTGTTGAGCCTGATTAATTACAATAACTGGGTAATATATTGCACATGAACCAGACCTATTGATGCTGATGGTGTGCTACTCCAAATGACTTTGTTGCTTTATGAATTTGTAACCTCAATAAGTCACTCAACAATGGGAAATCCTGAGCAGGTTGTCAAAATGTATCACATTTTAATACACTAGACACCATACATCAAATTGGAAGTTCCTGTGTTTTGTCATCCATCAGGCTAATCTATTCAAAAGCTTTTCTTTCTTAAAAATATGTTTACTTGACGCAAGAACAGCATCAGAATGAGAAGTTTTACATTTTATGAGTTCCAATTTCTCTACATAACTTTTCAAACAAGTTACTTTAGCACACTTGCTCAAGTGCTGTCAGTCGTTGGTTGGGCTTCACCCTAATATAGAGGACAATGCACAGAGGTTAATTATAACTAAACGAGAGATAAGAGAGAAGCCCCAGCAACGCATCTCTCATTCAAACTCGATTAACCCTGACCCTACTATCACTCTTATCAGCTCTTTAAAATGGCAGAATCGTGAGCTGACAGACAGAAACACTCCTCCGTCTACTTAACATCTCCTTAAACTCAGTCTCAACCCTAAACCTTTTCAAGATCAAACGAGCCAGATAATCGCCCACTGTGAAAACGTACATCCCAACACTTTGTTCAGTTCATATCCAAATGTTTCAGATTGGACTCCTCGCGTAATCCACTCTCGGGCCTGATGACCGTTTCTGCATAAATTATGTTTTCTGAGAAGAGTGTGAAAGCTGCCCTTGCATCGAGATTTGGAAGTCACGATGTATTCAAATTAGAAACACGGGCTGTGAGCCAAACAATGCCTAGGATTGTCGTATTAAGCAATATTTACCATGCTAATTATTACCATTTGATTATTGCTGTCCTGGTAGAGACGAGTTAATTGGATCAATCTGCTGCAGGCTTCTCATGCTCCCCTGAGTCGACGTCTAAGGTAAAACAATCAACGTGCAAAAAAAAAACCCCAGAGGATCCACCTGTGATTATAGACTTGAAATAAATGTGCTTTCATGGACAAATTACCAATTTTCTCTAAAAAAAAACGTGTTAACAGCAAGACATGTCTCTCTCTTTATTTACATGCACTAGTCAGGGCGCATTTTAATTCCTCATAAACATTTTCAGGAGGTAAAAATGGCAGTTTCGGTACATTACTTTTCCAGAAATATCATGAAGTGGCAATGATCTTATCAAAATAATGATCTTCTGTATTGACCTTAATGTTGCATGAACATGCCCACACTGATGGAGATTCAACAGTAAACTGCTACTCAACAGTCTATGAGTTGGAAGAAAACAGCAAGGACTTGGGCAGCATTTGGGACAGGGCCAAACATTATTTTTGCAATTCCAGGAGTCATTAGTGTCACAAATGGTTTTCTACTTTTTACTTGCTGCCAAGCCATTGGCATAAATGTGTTGATTCTGTAGAAAACATACACTGTCAGAAATAAATCTTTAGGGGTACAACAGATTGTTTCTGTGCAGTAGCCTTAAATGAGACAGATTTGTATCTTATCTACCCCTAAAGACTGCCTATTAGTATAATATTAGGTGTGCATATTAGTACCTTAACTGTACCTATTAGTATCTTATCCCGGGTTTAGACTACACAATATTTTTGTCTGGTATGATAGTCACTGTGTCAGATTATGACATTTTGATTCCTACATTTTTGTTGTGTCGTGGACAAGAAACATGTCAGACTACACGTTGCTTCCCGACCAATCATCACTTGTCGTCTTTAACAATGTGCGTGATGTCATCAAGAATGCGGAACTAGCGACTGACTTCCGGAAACAAGAGCGTAAACAAACAATGGCTACAGAAGCCGGTACATACCGAGTTGCTGAAGTGGCTCCGCTACCATTGGCCAGCATTTATCTTTTTTCACTCTGTCCTGCTAGTCCCTCAAAAAAAAACATTATAAAAGGCAGTAGTATTGTTGCTATATCTCCACAAACCTTTCCTCCATTGCATAATTCCACCTAGCAGCGTCTCTCTTTTGTTTCACCATGTTTGAAAGCTGTGTACGGAAGAGCTTCTGTGCTTACAGATGTGACGTGTGTCATTTATGAATCAGCACAACACCCTACCTCAAACGGATCGTGCCAAAATCGGGCTGCTATCGTGTGTTCTGAACACGGCATTAAGGTATGTGCTCTTTAGGGTAAGATGGCATACAAAAGGTGTACTTTTAAGGGTACTGCCCCACTAACAAGCACATTTTTTTACTTTTTTTCTGACAGTGTAGCTACTAACTAAACATTTCTAAAAACTTGATTTAGGTTACAATAGCAGTGAAGTAATACTTACGTCTGGGAATTCTTTTACAGGCACATAGAGTTTCTCTTGGAGTTGTGCGATGGGCCCCACAGCATCTGGGAGCTCGGAAGTCCTTTTATCTGTGCCGTTCATAGTGTCATTGTACATGTCCTTCCGTACCCGTCCAATTTCTGTCAAACAGACACATTGAAAACTCAATTATTTGGAGGCTTAATCCATAAAAGTTGCCTCATCCATCTTTAAAAACAAAGAAAAGTAATTTTTTTGTTAAAAATGACTTGCAGAAGTCTTGATGAGTTCATGCAACTATTCAAATATAAAAACAACTCCCAAAGGGCATGAGAGCCCAGCCAGCCATGGAGGAGCTAGCGCAACATGATGTGCATTCACAAAGAGTGAATCAGACACCAGCCTTTCGAATGCTTGCTGGTCCAAACCGAGGAATTCCAAAGAGACCAGCTTAAAAGACTGAAGCAATACTTATTTTTTAACTAAAGCTCTTTAGAGGATATTGGGAAGAAGCAGCAGTATATTAGAATGGATTTACACCGATGTACAATATGGTTCAAAATGACAACATCAAAGCATGGCCCAGGCCTACAGATTAAAATGACCTAAATATAACCCTGATCTGAGCTAGCTGTAGCTTGTTGGGCTCCCATAGGAGCCTCCCAGAGTAAAGCAGAGAACCTCAACAAGATCTCATAAGCAATAACTCAACAGTACTCAGCAGGATGTGGTCTTCTGAACTCCAGCAACACCACCACCCCCCTCCCGAAGAACGAACAGGATTGTTTTCAAATGCCTTACATAAGTGAACGCAGGCATGTAAGCACATTTACACTCAATTACATGCAACACATGCTCTTGGCACTGCCCCATCTAGCCATGTGTTCGATCCCTGCCATGAGACACAGCATTTTCTGATTTATAATGTTTTAAATGAATCCAGACTGCACTGTCACATTAGGACTGGTTTCATCGGTTCATATGCTATCATTCAGAATAAAGCTGATGAAATAAACCCTCAGAGTAAAACCAGCCATTTGAGGTCCCACAATGAAGCCCAAATCCAAACATCAGCTCTAACTGCTCAAAGCCGATTAATTTACACATTCTGGGACTTACTCGTGAAATTGGTATAATTGGTCACTTTACATTGAGTGTTGAAAGGGGATTAAACAGTCAGTCAGAAGTTTATATTGGGTTTTGTGTGATTCTGCGGCTTAACATTCCAACAGTCTCGACACTTTGGACTAAGTATGACTTATCCCCTGAATCACAAGGGCTGGGCGATAAATACAATATTCACAATAATTCTGCTGCCAGTAATAAAAAGCAACATTGTGGATATCTCAATTTGAATGTTTTTTGTTTGCCCATTAAGTTAAAGGGATAGGATAGTTCACACAAAAATAAAAATTCTGCCATCATTTACTCACCCTCACAAGACTTCCATTCATCTTCGGAACCGAAATGACCTAAATGAGATCTGTTTCTTATATAAAGTGATCGTGTCTCTTCATTACTTATATTAAAAAGCTCAATTCATTTGGATATGGATGAACTTTTTGATGCATTAAATCTTTGGTTGAAGGGACTTTTAATGGATGGACAAAAATGATGAGAGAATATTAAAAAATATCTTCATTTGTGTTCTAAAGATGAACGAAAGTCTTAGGCATTTGGTACAACATGAGGGTGAGTAAATGATGACAGAATTTTCATTTTTTGGGAGAACCATCCCTGTCATTAGTGCCCGGTTTCACAGACCAGGCTTAAGCTAGTCTCAGACCAAAATGCATGTTTGAGCTGTCTTAACTGAAAGCAACTTGCACAGGCATATCTTAAAATATGAGTATATGAATAATAATCATTAAAAAATGATTTGTCTCAAGATGCACACCAGTAAAGTTTTTTTCTGAGGCACATTTATAAAAGCTACTTAAATGTCCTAATTTAACTAAGGCCTAATCCTGGCTTCATCTAAGCCCTGTCTGTGGAACCAGGCCTATATGTTTTTAAAATTCAGGAGAAAAACAAATGGCTTTAACAGGGAGTCTAATTCAATTCCGGGAATCAGTTTTGTCCATTGTCCATTTCAAAGAATGGATTTAAAACTCAATGATTTGTTTGCATCACACAAACATTTTAACAGAATTCTTTCCATGCTATTTTCATATTTTTTTTATTAATATATTGATAAAAATTCATCTTGAAAAATGTTGACATATTGGGTTATATATATTGGTGCAAATGAAAACGATCAATATTAATATGAAATTTGTGTTCAATTGGTAAATATCAATGTGAAAATATTTTGGACCTATATATGGAAACAATCACTATTTGGTTGAGATGGTAAATCCTCATATTTAAAATAGAAATACAGAACAAATGCATAAATAGAAATGCAAAATGTAAAAATAAATACTATCTGTTTTAACCATATGTATTTTGTCTGAAGAACAGCTGAGGTGACATAAGACATATCATTTTCCACCCCCAGTTTGGCTGTTATTAGCACAAGCTTCAAGTGCACTAAAAACAAACATTAGAGGCGACTGGTCAACACTGCCAACCACAACATACACAGACAGTGAGATAGTCCTTCCTACTGCTGCTGCAGACCATCACTTACGTGTGTGACAGAGAGAGAGAGAGAGAGAGAGAGAGAGAGAGAGAGAGAGAGAGAGAGAGAGAGAGAGAGAGAGAGAGAGAGAGAGAGAGAGAGAGAGAGAGAGAGAGAGAGAGAGAGAGAGAGAGAGAGAGAGAGAGAGAGAGAGAGAGAGAGAGAGAGAGAGAGAGAGAGCAAGACGACTCTGATTACAGTTTGTTTGCTGTCATCTGAGCCTGTCCAATACTACAGTATGATACACTTGGTCTGGTATGGCTGTGAGCGAGCAACAACTAGTACATCACTGCGACATAAATATCACCTCCATAATGCCAGCAGATCCTGCACTCTAAACACACCGTGCTACGGATAACCTATTCAGTTGCTGTTATTTACTAATGGCACACTGTCACGCATCTGGTTTAAATGACTTCTTCTGACAACTTTAGTATTTTTCACACTTTCAGTGTCAGCCATGGAAAGTTTGCACCTATATCATACTTTCAAACAGGCAAATTTGGATGCAGTTTTTAGACTTTCTGAAACTTTTGACTTTTTAAACCAAAGAATTGGAAAGCAGAGATATGTGCTGGCAGAAAAACAAGCGTGATTTAATGTGAGATGTCAGACACATTCCTTGGTCGTTTAGTGAACAAAAGTGTTGTTGCCTGTGAGAGCTGGCGGTCTCCAGACCATGCTGGACGCTGGATAAAGACAAAGCGTTTACTCAACCAAACACTGCTTCATAGTGTGTGCCATTACATAAGGTTTGAAAAGATGTGTGCACATACACACACACAAATTGATATAAACAACAGAAGTGGAGATAACAAGAAAGACAACACAATGAATAAATCATTTATGGAAGGTTAGGTTGTCAATTCAAATACTTAACAGAAATATCAACCAAGTACACAAGTACTTGCTTTTTATGAATGAATGAACGGGTCCAGTTTCCACAAAAATATTAAGCGGCATTTAACATTGATAATAATAATAAATCTTTCTTGAGCACCAAATCAGCATTATAGAATGATTTCTGAAGGATCATGCGACACTGTAGACTGGAGTAATGATGCTGAAAATTCACCTTTGCATCACATGAATAAATTAAAATATATTTTGAAATGTATCGAAATTAGAGCTGCACAATATTAAAGAAAAACGTGATATGCAATAACGTGTTAAATATTTTGATATTTGATATGCGATACGATAATGCTTTAAGTGTGTAAAATAAATTCTATTTAACTATATTTAAAAACTGAAAATTATATGGGGGGGGGGGGGGGGCTTCAGGTAGGACATTATGTTTATTTAACAGAAACTGAATAATCAAATGTAAAAATAAAACACTGCCTAGTCTTCTCTGTATGAATTAAATATACACTGATTCTTATTAAAGCTACAAAAGTTAATCCATCAAGATCAGGGAGTGATTTTTCTCTTTGTCTATTGTTGTTTGATTAACATTAAGCACACAGATTGAAGAAGGTGTATTAGGCTGCTGTCACTTTAAGAGCTGCATGGCTCCAATATGTTGTTACATGCGCACTGTCCTTCTATGTAACTGTTTACTCCATTGACTGTGACTGACATAACTGACTGTGCTTATGTGAAAACTCACCAAGATTGGCATTCTGACATAATTTTGTGTGTATTTGGCTATAACTGCAGAAGAGTTGAAATCGTGATTACACACTGCCCGAGAGACGGCTTCATCATGTGTGCATGTGTACTTCGCTTATTGCGCCTAATAACATTAAGCATGTCACACGTATGTAACAGTCATGTGTCCAGTCTATTCTCTGCTGTCTGCGTCTCCCTAAAACTTAGACCTTTTGAAGTATTAAAATCATTCAGCTATAGTAAGCCATTAAGATATGCTTATCGCGATATGTACATTTTCAATATATTGTGCAACCCTAATTAAAATAGAATAAAATGTAATATTTCAAAATACTGTTTTATCGGCCTATTGTGCCCATTCCTAATTCATCACATTAATCATATTTCTGCAATAGATTACAAGTTCCCCACTGATTTATGAAAGTCTTAAATAAAATAATTGTATTTAATTATTAATATTTGATGTACTACTCAACGGTAAAGTGCACGTCAGGCACCAGAGAGTTTTAAGACTTTGGAACAGAAACAGATTATTTCAGTCTCTAACATGCAGGCAGCGAGTTAACCATCTGTGCCAGTGTGGGAGAGATGAGAGACGCTGAGATGAACAGAGGAATCATGATAAAGGTAAAAAAAAAGAAGGAAAAAAACTAGAAAAGGTTGCAAGAGGGATGAAAGAGTAGACCGCAAACCGTGAAACCATCTGGATAATCGTCGCCTGCCAGGAAACTGTCCGACGACTCCTCCGTTTTCACACAGAGAGCAGACACCACAGTTACTGCAATTGTCAGGCTGTTAGTGACAGTGTAAAAACAAATGTGTACATGAAAGAACAATATTCCCTTTGCTCTGACAATATATCTTCAAACTAAATACTGATTTCAGCTTCAGACCAAATACGTGTGTTGAAAACAGATCTATTTC